GGGATTTAATAGCATCTGTGTGTATGCAGACATTCACACATAAATATGTATACTTACTGAATAGTGAAGGGCTTACAAAGAAGTGGAAATATTTCAGCTTGTCCTCCTATACAGAGTTTTAAAGATGTGCTTTAATTGGAAAACACCATCTTCTTGGAGTTTTTAATGTATGCTTTAATTTAGAAACAGTAAAACAGAATGTGGACTACAAGGTGTAATATTTTTGTTTTGTGAGTGAAAATTTTAGTTCACACATAAAATACATTATGGAATTTGAAAATATCTTTAAAAATTGAAATTTATTTTTTCAGATTGCTTAAAAATAAAACAAAAAGCAAAACAAGAAAATAAAGTTGTTGGCATACAAATGAGCAGTTACCAAAGTTGTTTTCAGCTGAAGATAACTCCCTTTATTATTCTTTGTACTGGCATGATTATGTATACATGAAATTCAGTGTAAGGAAATTAAACTGTGTTTATTTCTGATTGTGATTCTTTGTACACATCCATTCTAATTAGTGAAAATGTCACCATGGTAGGTAGGAGGGGTTGTTAGGGAACAGTCCTCTCTGGTGGAGTGGGGTGGGGTCAAAGGTACTAGGACGGTGTCACTCCCTTCCACTGCCTCTCCATGGAAATCATCCTAGCTGCAGTTCACAGCTGCTGCCTCTGGGTCTAATCTCCACGCCACACCTAACAGCTCTTGCTTTTCTCTTCTCCTTCATTGCCTCTTTCTCTATGTTTTACAAAAACCTACCTTTTAATGTGCTCGCAGCTTCATCAGATGCTTAGTTTTGACCACCACTGCTAGCCCGAGAAACTTCTTCACTTCCCCAGGGCACCTGTGCAGCCCTAGGATGAAGCCCTTTTGCCCTTGATGGCTCTAAGGCTGCTACTGACCTGAAGCCACTATTGCTAGGTGCTTAGGAATTATTCCTTCTACATTGTCTTTAATTCCTGGCACTGTTCCAGATGCAGAAGTCATTGACCTCATATATTTCCAAAGTAAGCAGTTACAGAACTTTACCAGTAATGTTAAATTACAATAATATAAGCCCTGCTGATGAATTTAATGCACATAAAATGGGGGTACCTTGCAATCATGAAAAAAAAGAATTCATATTATCATCTAATTTCCTCATATAATACTTTGAAAAATGTACAGTGACATTCTTACCATTATTTCTTGCTATTTACAAAGCTATTCCATTCACATTCCTTTTGCTATTTATAACAGTCTTATTATCAGGCTTTGTTATTACTGGCCAATATTATCTCCATTTTAGAAAGAAGTAAACTCTTTAAATGATTTCCCCAAAATTACCGGGAAGGCTAGTGGCAGAAAGAAATTTTTCCCAGTTTCAAACTGCTCCTCCATGTCATTATAAAGTTTCTTTTCATTATATTATAGCAAGAAAGCTTTGATTCACTGGTAAGAAAAATATAGTGAATATTCATTTTCATTCTGATTTTGTAGTTGGAGAAGCATACAAAGAAATAACACAAAAAGGCTGGTCTTTGCACTGGAGAAGTTTATAATTTGGAAGAAAGAGCTCATGAAACACTAGATATTTAAACCCTGGAAATAAACTCTCGCTTTGTAGTTTCTTGGAAATATTTCCATGCTTTTGTGAAAAAAACAAAAACATAAGATAACATCTGATGGTAGAAATCTGATTGTCTGAAGACTTGAAATCATGGTGTCTTTCATTATAAATCAGATGTTTGTTTAAGGAGTCCAAACATTTTTATTGATGCATCAGAAGATTAAGTAGCTTCTTAGAGTTATATAGTGAGGAAGATAGCAGTGATTGTGAATTATGTTTTGAGAAAATTATTAAAATTGGAAATTAAGTTCTTAAAATTCCTATCTTCTCCATCCTAGTCCATTCTCCAAGATTCATCCAAAAGTGCACCTTCTTGAAAGTACTCTTAGCTCCCTAGATCAATGAGATATATTTCTATCTGCAGAGAAAGCAGGTATCTTTCTATCTGAAGGTAGTTTCTATCAGAGACTGACCAGCATTTTCTGACTGTTCGGCCCAGCATGGAGCTCTTTTCCCCCATGTTTTCAGTAACCCTGTCCTCCTCCTGGAGTCCCCAGTCATATGAGTGGCCAGCTTGTCCTTGATTACAGGGTGAACCTGTGGTAAAAGCTTAGTCAATCTAGTCCCCTTGGGCACAGTGACAGGAGTGGGTTCAATGAGCTTCAAACACAAGGCTCCTCAAAAGCTGCTATAAGAGAGAAAATGGCTGGTGGACTGAGGGATTGAAATCCAGATTTGTCAGAGCCGCCATGCAGAAAGATTTGACCAAGAATAAAACTATCTTTGAGGTAGAGCAAACCATGGTCAGGGAGAGCAGGAAAAAAATCCAAGGAGACAGAGAACTTTGTGGTCATAATTGAACTTGTGAATTTACTTATGCCTCATGATAGACTACCTCTGGACTCTTCAGTTATTTGAGCCCATAGCTTTTTTATTTTTCCCTTCAGGAAAATTGAGTTAGGTTTTCCACTAAATTATTATAATAGCAATATACCCCGCTACCACAGAGACATTCATTTGTTCTTCTCGTACGCCATGTACCATTTCACTGACATGAATCATTTTCACTGGTGATTCACCTTTGATTCAGTAGGGAATATTTGAAGACAGAGGGAGGGCTGTACTGGTCTTTGTTTCCCCAGAACCTGACATTCCTTGTGTGTTTCAAACTCCATAAATGCTGTACTTTGGAGAGGTAAAAAATCCACTAATACTTAATTGAAATTTAATGGGTCTATTCACTTTTGTGGACATTAAGACCCATACGTTCAATTCAATTAACTTTCCAAGATACAAAATTTAATTTGAGCATTTTATTTCTTGGGCATTCAGAAGAAAGCTGTCACAACATGTGTAATACTAACAGGTGTTTAAATTTGCTAAGCTTTGAAAATTCTATAGGAGAACCGTGAATTTATCCACTAACCATCCAGTGATTAAGCATGCCTTATTTTTTTTTTAGAACTGAATTTTTAAAAAAGCAACTTAGAATAAGAAATTTATTTAATCAACACCGTAACTAGTGTTTTACATTAAAAAATATATATACATGTATTCCTGATTATATAACCAATTCGCCACAACTAATGTAATAATTATATATCACAAACATATTAATTTTAAAAAAGACATGTAGGAAGAGGAAGTTCCAGTTTAAGTGAAATGACAGAAAGTTCTGTTTTAAACATTTTTAGTTTGAGATGCTTGAAAGATACTAAAACAGAGATAAGTAGGAATTAGTAGATGGTAGAGATAGCTAGGAATTAGTTAATGGCTTTAAACTTCAGGACAGGTTGTAAGGGAAAATACCTATTTGTCTACACAGTAGGGTCACCTAGGGAGCTTTAAATATTTCTGATGTCCAGGCCACAATTCAGCCCAACTTAATTAGAAGGTCTAGAAGTGGAGAATAGACATCACTGTATTTATAAGTTCCTTATGTTGCCACACTGTGGAACCAACATTGAGAAATAATGCCCCAGTATGTCTGGCTAATATTTCAACTACTGGAAAAGGCAACAAATCAAAACATTTTAGGATTTAATTATTAACTTAAACTGTGGTTCCAATTTCCCAAGAAAATGCTTTAATTTGTATATATCTGTTCCAAATTATTCCTATTTATTGTTAAATTAAAATTTCAAATTAAATAGAGGGGCTGCATAAAAATGGAAAGAACATGTACTTTCTCAGCTGGATATGAGTTCAAATCTTATCTCCTCCATTAGTTAATTGTATGGCCCTGGTGGAGACATTGAATTTTCTTGAGTCTTAATTTTTCTTACTGGCAAAAATGGAAGTAACATTAGCTTTCTGAATGCTGTGGGCAATAAATACTTCAAATAAAACACCAAAAATAAGACTACTTCATAGCTGTTTAATATACTGATATTAACTATTGAAAAAGGGTACATACTCACATGTACAATGACATGAGTAAATTTCTGTCATTCTTCAAATAATAGACTGAAGGGTCTCTGGCATGGGATCTAAAGCCATCCCCAAGTAGATTACACATTTCAAACCTCTGTAACCCACTGTCAGGGTTTTATAATATTTTCACCTTGGTTAATGTTGTGAGAAGAATGGATCCTAAATGAGGCAGCTGGTGTCCACAGTCGAGCTGTGGCAATAAGGCATAACAAACAAGACGGCAGCCCCTTGCTTTTTCCCGCCAAGGCCTGGCTAAGCATTTAAATTTCATTTTCCAAATTTTGTATTTCTAATACATTTCCTCTGTCCCGCGTTTTAATCACCGTGGCTTCTCCCTAGGCTATGCGCTTTCCCGCCCCTCCCCCACCACGCCAGGGCCTATGGGCCTCAGCGCAAAAACTGCCCTCTATTTCTCAATGTCCTAACTTCCCTTCACTCCGGTGGCATCATCTGGCTTTGAAGATATTTCACAGTACCTTGACAGGCATTAAACTAGAGAAGGCGCTTAGGGAAATGGGACTATGATACATTTACATACCATTATCCCAAATCTGAGATTTCTATAGCAAGCACTTCTTATTTGCGGGAACACTAAAATTCAAATCATCTATTTAACCTCATGGCACCTTTCAATAACACTATGATTATCCACAGACTTTGACAGTACTTATTTAGGAGAGAGCATTATACACACATGAGGAAAAACCTGTCCCTTCCCCATCACCGATCTCGCGAAGCTATGCACCTTATTATTGCGCTCAAAATGCACGCTCCATTAAAAAGCATGCTGAAAGCTTTTACCAAATCTGACTTAAGGTGCACGAAAGCAGAGTCCAGCTATGCTTTCACAAACAGAAAATCACATACACATAGGTGCATTTGTTCCCGATATATTCTGACAGACAAGTAAAATTAAAATTGATTTCCTTTTCACTCATTCATGTTAAACTCCAAATAACCAAATTTAGCAGGTTCCTATCTGAGGGGGCAAGAAAAATGGCACACATCGACTGGACTTACCTGGCTGGGGTGGAAGGCAGCGCCGGGTCTGTGCTGCTGGGGTTTGCAGCCATCAGCACATGCATTAAACAAAGCCATCCTTGGCGGGTTTTCAAGACAGAGGCAGGGGGTGCCACAGAAAGATACCGCAACTCCTTATATGGAAGGAAGCCAGGCCAGAGCAGCATGCAGAACGAGCTGAATTAAATGTGCAGATTAAGTGAACAGCTTGCTTTATGTACATCAGTTAAGTTCAAAGCTTTCTGGCCTACTGCTAATAGCTAGCTTGGTGAAAAAATAATCAGTGACCTGATGACATGGGGCTGGCAGAAGCCAGATGAGAGCTGCTCTCTTGCCCTCTGGCTCTCTCCCTCAAACTTCATTTCTCTTGCAGCTCCTGTTTATTTGGGGATTTGCCTATAGCACCTATTCTTACAAAAAAAAAAAAAAAAAAAAA